TCTGAAACATTTTTTGATATCTCACTTCGTTTCCGAAAAATATGCCCGCGTCACTATAAATGCCGCACCCTGTATATAGATGAACCCACAACATACAATACCTACACTAGATGACAATGGTCTTTATTTGTGGGAAAGGTAAAATAGAAGCCTCAATATCTTGATCTCTAGAGCTATAATATATAATATAATATAAATTATTTATTAAGTTTGATTATAATTATTTACTTATTTTCTTCATCGAGATTTGCGTACATTTTGTAGCCGTGCAATCATGACGTATTTGGCCAATCAGTACGGCAAAAATGATTCTCTCTATCCAAAAGATCCAAAGAAACGAGCTTTGGTTGATCAGAGGCTATATTTTGACTTGGGAACTTTATACTCATCATTTGCCGATGCTTACGTAAGCTATTTTTAGATTGTAATATTTGATAATTCATACATAATGCATAATAATTGATAAAATCAATAGCAATATATATATACCTCAAAATAACGTTAATTGCAGTATACGTGGATATTTGCCGGCATTGCTCCGGATCAAGCAAAACAAGATAAGATTAACAACGCGTTGTCCTTCTTGGATAAATTCCTAGAAGGTGAAAACTACGCAGCAGGGAAAACTTTAACTCTCGCTGATCTTACTTTAGTTGTTACCGTTGCCAACTTTAAGGTAAGAAATTAATTTCCTGTACACACAAACATATCACCAATTTACTGATAAAACAACGAATCTGCATAACAATATATTGAAAGAGAACAAAGTATTCTTGTGGACTTAGATAATATAAAGAAATGCGATTTTACAAAAGAAATCATTTTTTAGAAAAAATATATATTCCTATTATTCTACGCTATATCAAGCAAATTTTTATGTCTTTTAAATTTGCAGCTTTATTAACACATTTAAATTTGAAACATATATTGATTAATATATATTAACGATAAATTATACACGCAATTGAACTTACATATACATATAAATTATCACTAGCTATATAACGGACATACGATGAATATACATCTTACTTCCATAACATGAAAATAATATCCTGTATGTAAAATGTTCGTACATCTCATATACATGATTTGAATGTACATTATAATATATGTATGATATATATATTTATTGATATATTTTATATGTACATATATTACATGTTGTAAATTGTATGTGAAATATAGATATATAATTTGTATATACTTTGTTGTACGTAATATGTATATACATTGCTGTTAGAGATGTAAATAGAAAAAAAAACAAGCCCCATTTTTTTTCAAAATTTTGATTTTTTTTCAAATATTTAGTATCTTTATATTTTGATTGCTGCAAATTAATTTTTTATTGTTTTTAACTTTTTAAATGATAGATTTGAATTAATTATTATATATATATATATATACTTCATTGATCGAATACATATATTGTATGTGACATGCATTATTAAAATTATATTATATCCTAATGTTGCTATAACGTTTCCTTGCAATCTTTCTAAAGGCGGACCTGTTAATGTTGCCGCAATCTTACAGCAATGATTCGTAACAGATTTGCTATCTTTCAATGAAATTATTTTGCAGTATATCTGCAATCTCTCTGTGCTGTATGGGGATCTATGTAGTATGTACATATATGGTATATACATATAAAGAAAATGTATATACAGAATGTGTATACATAGATTGTACTAATCATGTATATATGTATATATCACGTATTTTCTATGTACATAGATCTGGTTACATTTGTATGTATCTATCACATACAATGTATATGTATTTAATCTATGAAATATATGCATGGAGTATACAATATACATAAATGTATATACATTGTATATATTATGTATATTTTAATGTTTTGTGGGTACATTCGCCGGAAATACATATATTGTTCCATGCGTATTAATATACTCGTGATTATAAGTTTTAAGGTAAAAAAATTGTATATTATGAAACCAATAACTCTTAATTATCAACATTTTTTCTCTTGCAGCTTGTAAACCATGATTTGAGTAAGTATGGTAACATTTTGAAGTGGTTTGCCAGGATTCAGGCCGAAGCTCCTAAATATAACGAGATCGAAGGCGAAGGCATGAAAACATTTAAAAAATTTATCGATGATATTAGAAAGAAGAAATAATTTTTTGACACTGATTTAATGCTTGCACAATGCAAACATTGTATAGTACTTTACTATCTTTATTAATTTTTATTGATTTATGTATTTTTACTACTTTTATTAATTTTTATCTGCATTACTCTCTCTTACATATATTTTTATATTATATTGATTAAATTTACAATAAGATGTCTCAATATATTTGCTCTCATGATTGAAACAAAGTCGTCACCGATGTGACAATTTTTTGTACGCTTTGGAAGAAGAATGAAAGAAAACGTTCTACGAATTATTTTCACACAAACGCTTTTATCGCTTCGTCCGTGTCAAACTTCTGGTTGCCCCCAATGCCTCTTTATAAGTAGTCCAGTCATTTTAGAATTTCTCTTCAAAAAAAGTCCGAGCTACCTGAAATTTGGTATGTATTTTTATTTAGTAGTTATAAATAATATATCAAAAATTTCCATCAATTCATTATACGGAAAAAATGTACACCGAATAATAGGTGTAAAAAATGAGTTTTTAGTAAATATCTCCGTATGTATTGGTCCTATGACTAAAATAGCTATTATCAAATGTATAGATTAGAAAATTTTCTACAAAAAAGATCGTATACTTTTTTTTCGTACAAGCAACTGTTTTTACGTATTATACGACTTACCAAACTGAAGCCTATACGTTTATGAATATACTGTCCAACACCATCTTACAACATGAGTGTAAATAGTCATTTCCGTTCTATTTTTGTCTTCTGAACATTAATCCATTGTCCAAATTTGGCTATCACTTCATAATTTTGAGAAAAATGATGTCAAAGAGGCCAAAAATGTCGATGTTTTTCTCAAAATTATAAAGTGATAGCCAAATTTGGCTAACGGATTCGTGTTCAGCGGAAGTGACTATTCAAAAAAAGAAATGTTGCAAAAAAGAAGTCAAATTTTGTCAAATTTTCGATAATTTATATGAATATCATGAATTTTAGTAGGAATTTTAAAGTTTTACATTTTTCACATTCTATATTCTTCAAACCGGTTGGAGAAAAAAAGTATGCGACCTTTTTTGTAGAAAATTTTCTAATCTATACATTTGATAATAGCTATTTTAGTCATAGGACCAATAGGTACGGAGATATTTACTAAAAACTCATTTTTTACACCTATTATTTCGCTGTACACTTTTTCCATACAATGGATTGATGGAGATTTTCGATATATTATTTACTATTAAATAAAAATACATACCAAAATTCAGCTAGCTCGGACTTTTTTCGTAATTTTGGTGTTTTTTTTTTTTTTTTTTAAACAAAAGTTCTAAAGTGACTGGACCAAAATGGCTTGAACAGATAATCACAAGATGATAAGTCAGAGGATACTGTACTATCTTTTACTTCAGTCATTCAATAGTGCACACCATCACCGCCAAATGAGGGCGAGCATTATTGTCATAGAATAAAGATATGAAACAATATCTGGAGGGCGGGGGGAGGCATAAAGTCCTGATGTAGCTTGCCTTGTCATCATTACACTTCATATTCTTAATTATAGCGTGACATCCAGCCACGTATAACTACTAAAGCTGCATGAAACTATTCTTTCTAAGCACGTACATTAGCGACCCAGATAAAAATCGTTGAGACAAAACAAAAACTTGACGTGGCGAGTACTTTATTTTCATGAGAATCTTACATTTTTGATACGATAAAAACGCTTATAAGAAAATTGTCTTATTTCCGAGTAAATATAGGGTGTCCCAGAATTAGACCGACAAACTTCAGATGGTTAAAGACAAAATAAGCCAATTTTGTCGATAAATCCGTGTCCGCAAATGAACCGTTTTGGAAGACTAGAGAATCAAAGACTAACAAGGATAAAAATCTTTGAAAAAATTATTTTTTCAAAATTTTATTAATGTGGTTAAATAGAGGTGTCTTTATTATGAAACTTTTGTATAAAACATTTTTTAATATTTCAAATAATTTTCGAGTTTTTTGGCCGCAACTGGAAATTTCTAAATTCATCTATTTACCCCCTCGCCCTACATGTATATGAAGTTTTATCAAAATCAGAATTTTCGTGTTTGCGAGGTATCCTTGTTAGTCTTTGATTCTCTAATGCCAAAACGGCTTATTTGCGGACACGGGTTTGTTAGCCAAATTGGCTTGTTTTGGTGTCCTTCATAACCACCTGAAATTTGTCTAATTCTGGGACACTCTGTATATTTGTCGTGTCAGTTAATAGATATTTATTTATTTCCGTCCCGGCATTACCTTGTACTGTTGCTCTAATAGGATATATCCGTTAGCTACTACACTATTGCACGCAATTATGCAACAAGCAGCATTCCTGATTGATGTGTTCGACAATAACGAGGCGTTTTTACAGCTGCAGAGTTCAGTCTGAATCCAAAGGCGGTAAGAAACTTGCGTTACCTTTATTGGCTATGGCTAATGGATATTTTAAATCGATTTTGTTCTTCTTTACTCTATGTGATAACTATAAATACATTTATATTCAGTTAATGAGGTTTTGAGGGCTTCTCATCAAGAATTGATTTGTAGTTTATCAAAATTTAATTTACTAAAATGTTATTGTAGTAACATTGTATTTAACGTAATTATTAACTGTATGAAAAATAAAAAATTTTAAATATATATATAACAATATTATTAACTACTTAAATAAAAATTTTTAGCTTAAAAAAAAATTTTTTTTGAAGTTATGGGAATATTTGCGGAGCTCCAAATTTTAGGTGGCTGCACGGTACACTGAAAAAAAAATTGTTAACTTGACTAAATCCGTTCAACTAATTCCCATTTTTTTAATTGAAATATTTATATATTTAAGTCAAATATACGTCATGTTAGATTTAATATGTCGTATTTGACTTAAATATATAAATATTTCAATTAAAAAAATGGGAATTAGTTGAACGGATTTAGTCAAGTTAACAATTTTTTTTTTCAGTGTATGCATGAAAATTTGTAGATTATATCTGAAATAAAAAATCCAAGTTTTTTCTTATTAAACATTGTAATAGCTATCCAAGCGTCTCCTCAAAATTTTAAAAAATAAAAAAATGGCAGGGTGTTGAAAAAAAAGTTTCGGTTTTTTTAAATAAAGTCCATCATTTTTTTTATAACAAAAAATGGGGAATCGGATTGAAAAAAGGCTTCGTTGGCAGATGCGGAATCTTATTAGAAACTCGCATGTAAAATTTGAAGTTAATCCGTCGAACGTAGCTCGAGTTTTTATGCACACCGTGCATAAAAATATAAATCTGCAAATATTCGCATAACTCTAAAAAAAGAAATCTTTTTGAGCTGAAAATTTTTATTTGTGTAGTTAATAATATTGTATTAATATCGCAAAAAAAAAATAAAAATTTTTATCAAGTTCTTGCGCTGCAAAAAAATCTAAAAAATGTACTCATTTTTCGAGGTTTCAAACGGGTATGCCTCCTTTAATTATCTGAAAACATACAATCAGAACTCGGTACACGTGATATATTTCGTACATATAAATCGCGCAAAATAAAGATATTATTATATAAATAATATATTACGATTTTCCATTTTACTTAAATTATATTTAATGCATTACTTCGTGCTCTCGATTCGAGATGAATGTGAGCGAATTATATAATGGGAATTAATAAATTACGCGATAATCTCTAATTTTAAGAAAGAATTGCACACTTGACGTCTCCTAGTAGTACTAATTGCTATCGTACTTAGAAAGAAATTGAAACGATGACATACGTAGCAGTTCGGATTGCTATCTTCCTGCTCGAGAATGACAGCACGAACAAGGCCACGACGATTCTCTCTCTCGCACATGTATATCAAATATAAACAATAGCTTCCACGATGCTGTGGAATGTGCTATTGTTTACATTCGCCCACGAGACTCGCCGTAACCTTGTCATTCGCGCAGTGAGTCTCGAGCAAGAAGATAGCAATGTCTGAACC